TAGAGTTATACCACCTTTATGTCTGGTGTCTCCTTTGGTCTTAGGACATATCAGATATTAGCCCATATTCTTATTATGAAATACCTTGCCCACCTTTCATAACATATGGAGTATCATGACTTATTCATGACCAAAGAAGCCAAGGGTTTGATGAAAACAATTTCCTGAGCCACTCCTTGGAACCCTGCCCCCCATGCAAAGAATATCTTCTAAATTGCAAGTGAGACAAACATAAAATTATCTGCCTCTGTTTGGTCATGTTTAAGGATTTTTGCTGTCAACAAAGCATTCCCTTCACAAGAAAGGAACATCTTCTTAAAACAAATTTTTTAATTGTTCCCGTATGTGAGTAATGGTAATGGGTCCATTCACTTCTGAAGTACTTTACAGGCTTCTGTAAGACTGCTTCCGCCCTGTGCATGCTGCCATCCTCCGGAGGGTTTAAGGGAGATGCCCAGAATTCCTGCAGAGACAGTACATTTTCTCCTCCTGCCCTGACACCTGCCTGTTACCATGGCTCCCACCCTTCCTGGAAGAGGTTTCAGCTATTTGCCCTTAGGCCCTCCTTGCCTCGGTCACCGCCAACTGCCCAGGACTCCTGGGTAAGCCATCATTTCTGGACTCTTCTCACTCAAAGGCTCTAAATAACCAGTAATCTGCTCCAGTATTCCCCACTTTCTCCCTTTCTCCTACCCACCTCTCCTCCTTTCCCCCTTGAACCCAGAGGCTACTGTCAGTAAGACCCCCTGTAGCCAATACCCACCCCTTCTTTTTTCAGTCTTCTTGCTGTGACACCAGCTGTCCCCAAGGACACCCCCCAGCCCCCGGCAACCCTCTCACGTGGTGGCTTGTCATGTCCCATCCCCTCTGCCCGACATCACTAGGCTTGGAGGTGGACTAGGTATCTCCCTTGCTCCTCTTTGCTCTTTCTGGGAAGTTCTCCTCTCCTCCCTCAAGGAAACCCCTAGCATCTGTGAAAAGGCCCCATTACAATAGTCTCTGACCCTCTTCAGATCCTCAGTCCACTGCCTAGTGTTCATTCCCCATCTCCTCCCTCAATCTTCACTTTCCTCTCCACCCAGCTTAGATTCTGTGGGCTTCCATGACATGCCCTTTGCATCCCCTTGTCCCTGTCTCCTTCCAAATCACTTTTCTGACCACCCCCAACCGATTCCATCTACTCACACCTGCCCCAGGGCAGCTGAATGTGGCTGGAGGAAAACAAGCCACCATGGGGATGAGTCTTCTCCTTTTGAATTCATTGCCATGAGCCTCAAGTCACCTCTCAGCTCCTGGCCACCAGGCTACATGGCCACGGTCAGCCTGCACCCCTCCTACCTCAAGAACTGTCTCACGCTTCTCTTCTTGCTCTCTTCTTTCCTCTTCCCTCCCTTCCCCTCGCCTCTTCCATCCTCTAAACTCCAACTCCTTCTCACTCTCAGCGGATGCATGACCTCACTTCTCATCCCCACATCCCCTCCAGAAAATGTCAGAAAACAGAACAGGACATCCTCATCGTCCCATCACCAGATCAGCCCATCTCCCTGCTGCGTCTGTGGCTGTGAAGCCTGTCTGTCTTCTCTCCTGATTCCATGGCCCATGACCCCACAGCTCACTGAATCCCATCAACCCCTCCTTTCTTAAGAAATGTTTCCCTCTCTCTCCTGCATCCCCAGTTTTTCTTCCTCTATGTCGAGTCATTCCCATCAGGATGCGAAATGCCGCAATCTCTTCCAGGTGATATATTAAAACTTCTCTTAGTCGCTCTAGCTCTTGAAGCCCCATTTCTGGGCTCCCCTTAATAATCAGCTTTTGCCAAAGGCTGTCTAAACTCACCATTTTTCCATCAGTTCTCACTCTCTTTTGAGCCTACCTGAGTTAGAGATTTACCAACCAGACCAAAGAAAGTACTTTTGTTCCAGTCATGCTGACTTCCATCTTCCCAGGGCCAAAGGACTGTGCTTGGTCCTCCTTGTTATTCAGCTGGTCTCCTTCTCCTCTCTGCATCTTCTTTCCTGGTCTTGCCTGACATCACACCCTTCTGGTTCTGCTCCCAGCTCACTCTGCTCGTTCTCAGCATCCTGGGAATTTTCTCCTTGCTCTCTGTGCCCTCTGAGTATTGGAACGTCCCAGCCCTGTGTCCTCTGCTTCCCTCTATTTGCATCCACATGCAAGGCTTCCATCCATTCTCTTATCTTCAAATGATATCTGTATGCTGAACTGCAAAAGTTTACCTCTAAGTCTGACGTCACTCCTGAAATTCCAGGTTTCAGGTTCTGCTTTCTCTCTCTTTTCTTTCATGTCCAGCAGGCATTTCTAACCCAGCACATCCCAGATGGCAGCACTGATCTCACTTCCTAAAGCCACTCCTCTTCCAGTGGTCCCCTGTCTCAGTAAGTGACATCTCCAGCCCCCCGTTGTGCACACCAGCAACATCGGGGTCAGGCTTGATTCCTCTCTCCCACACCCAGTAGCTGAGTCATCAGCAAATCCAACTTAGATGCAAAATCTGCGCCTTGCTCACCACCAGCCCACGCCCAAGCCAGGGTCATCTCTCCCTCCCTCTAGTGGAATGGCTCGTTAACTAGTCTCCCCATTTCTGTTCTACTCTCCGCAGACTGTCCTAGACGCTCAGAAGGCTTCTTGTCTTCCTGGCCCCCCCTTGCTCACTCCCCTTCAGTCACAGAAACTTTCTGCTGTGCTCACATCAGCCAAGCACTTTCCCACCCCAGGCTCTTCACTTCTGCTCTTCCCTTGGCTTGGAAACCCCAACCTGTGTCTTCAGTGTCTGGCTTCTCGTCATCTGCCAGGTCTCTGTCACAACGTTAACTGTTCCCAGAGCGCTTGCCCGACCACACGCCCTCAAATAGCATCTCCTCACCTGCATTCCTCAATCCCCTCAGCTTGCTTCCAAGGACTTATCAATATGCCACATGTTTTTATTGAAGTGTAGTTGATTTACAATGTCTCAGGTGTACAGCAAAGTGATTCAGTTATATATATATATATATATATATATAAATATATATATATTCCCATATATTCTTTTTCAGATTATTTTCACTTATAGGTTATTATAAGATATTGAATATAGTTCCCTGTGCTCTACAGTAGGTCCTTGTTGTTTATCTGTTTTATAAACAGTAGTGTGTATCTGTTAATCCCAAACTCCTAATTTATCCCTCCCCCCTTCCCCTTTGGTAACCGTTAAGTTTGTTTTCTATATCTGTGAGTCTGTTTCTGTTTCGTAAGTAAGTTCACTTGTATCATTTTTTTAGATTCCACATATAAGTGATATCATATGATATTTGTCTTTCTCTGTCTGACTTACTTTACTTAGTATGAGAATCATCTCTAGGTCCATCCATGTTGCTGCAAATGGCACTATTTCATTCTTTTTTGTAGCTGATTAGTATTCCATTGTATGTATGTGTGTGTGTGTGTGTGTGTGTATATATATATATATATATATATATATATATATATATAGCACATCTTCTTTATCTATTCATCTGTTGATGGGCATTTAGGTTGCTTCCATGTCCTGGCTATTGTAAATAGTGCTGCTATGAATGTTGGGGTGCATGTATCTTTTCAAATTAGAGTTTTCGTCTTTTCAATATGCCACATTTTAGTAGTTAACATGAGTCTTCACTTGTTTACTGTTTGACTTTGGGCGGCCCGTTAGCTTTCTAAGGCTCAGATTCTTCCTCTGTAAAATGGAGCTAATAATAGTATCCAGCCCATGGATTGTTGAGAAAATCTTGCCATGGAGTAAATACTCAATAAGCACTAGGTAGTAGCTTTTATAATAGCATACTTCTAATTTTGGCTTTATCGTACAGGTCAAATAGAACAGGAATAATGAGAATTACATAAAGAAAGACACAAATATTGAAATGAGTTTAAATTCTGTTCTTTGTTAACTTTCGTCCATTTATGTTTGCAATGATTCTTTATAGAGAATTGAGTCCCTCGAAAAGGTCAAAAAAGAAAAAAAACAAAAGAGTTAAAAGTGGTTGCCTCTGTGAAGCAGGAACTGGGAGTGCAGCAGGTGTCTGCTTTTCCTTGATAATGTCAGTACTCTTTGACATCTTGCTTTGAGAAAACTAACCTTGAATTAAAGAAGAAAAAAGACTGAAAGGAAATACTGTGACATCTCAACAGAAGTTCTCTGGGGAGGAGGAGAGAGGAATTGTTGGCTATTTTTATTTTCTTCTTTATGCTTTCTAAATTCAAAAAATGATCCATAATGTATTTATATATTTTTCATGATGAAAAATGGTATACATGCTTTTCCTGTATTAACCAGATATTAGAAGGCAAATGGCGGATTGATTGGTAGGAGGCATTTTGAATATGCTGTACATTGAAAAATAGAATTCCTGGGGCAAATCAGAGAACGTAGCAACCTGAGTGTGAATACTTGGCAGCAGTCATGCTGAAGGCCTTGAGCTGGTGGGGACGGGGCATTTGAGGCAGAGAAGGACCTTGAAACCATGTAAGGGAGACGAATGGTAAGGGACGAAGGGAAGGAACGATGCTTCTCGGCATTCTGATCACTAACAGATTGGTCCCAAGAAAAGAAGAGTAAACACTTTGGAAAACTTGGAGGTGGTTGAAAAGAGGACCGGACAGAGCTGGAGCCAGGCAGGCAAAGAATAGACAGTTTCAGGCTCATTCTGAGCAGCATGTTTTCATTTAAATACAATTTCAGGCCAAAGCATGTTTGCAAAGAGACCATTTATCTCACATCTGGGGTGGAAAGCAAGCACCGAGGGCAGGCCCTCCCTGAGTCAGGCTGTCTGGAGGGGGCAGGGGGTGGGTCTCAGTTATCGCTCCTCTCTTTTAACCTGGACGATGGAGGCACAGAGATCTGAGACCTCTCCTGACAGACTGGAGAAATGCTTTGCAAATTCCCATGCTTGGCATGTCCAAGTGTGAGGAAGTGAGGCATCTCTCTGCCTTCCCCAGTTAATAGGAGCTGCTGTCTATTGCAGGATGGATGGTCACAGTATCACTTCGTAGCCTCATCTTCAACCATCGAGAGGGATCGGCAAAGACCCTACTCCTCCTCTCGCACGCCCTCCATCTCCCCTGTGCGCGTGTCTCCCAACAACCGCTCAGGTAAGAGGGGCCCCGAGCCAGTGGCTGCTTCTCTTGGATCCAAGGCCCCCCGCCCCGACCCCTTAGCTGACCCCACAGGCAGGAGGGCCATCCGGACTGGGACACTTACTAGAAATATCAAATGAATCTGTTTTCTTTTTACAGTGGTGGTGACTTTGTATCATACGTACACAGACTCAGAACAAACATCTTTCTAACAGTTTTCTAAAAACCTCTAACAGGTGTCACAGGCATGAAATGCACATCCTGGGCCTGCATTCAGGGAGGAATAGGAATGTATAAAACCACCAAGTGTTTGCAGTTCAGGGTTTTCCATGGACGTTTTACCCAGTTAAGATAGTTTAGGTTGCATTTGATTGATTAGATTTGGGATAACAGAGTAGGGGAGAGAGGGTGTGCGCCTTCCTCCTTGAGAATGACCTACGTTTGAAAACTGTCATTGAGGCTTTCGTCACTGTTCCGTACCTGATCTGCTTTTCATTATTACCTGTAAGCCAGCAGATAAATCATTTCATATATTCATATTACAATCAACTGTAACTTTTAAACCATTCAATTTAATTTTTTCTAATTTTATTTCATTCTTTCTTTTTAATTTTTTTATCAAAGTATAGTTGATGTACAATATTATGTAAGTTACAGGTGTATAATACAGTGATTCACAACTTTTAAAGGTTATACTCCATTTATAGTTACTGTACAATATCAGCTGTGTTCCCTGTGCTGCACAGTATATCCTTGTAGCTTGTTTTATACATAATAGTTTATACTTCCTAATCCCCTACTGCTATATTGCCCCTCCCCCCATCTCATTCTTATTAGATTTTATTGTTGTTTTATTCAATGTGTAATAAATAATTTTATATGGGCGAACACACACACGCGCACAGATAGAGGCTTTTGTTTAAGAAAAGTTTCTCCTTGCTCTTCGCTGCCCTCCTCCTGCTGAGGAAACTATATTTTCTGGAACTGAGTCTCAAGGGCATGGTACAGAGCACTCCCCAGCAGGGTGGCCCCTCTGCCCTTGAGGATGTTTGTCATGAAACTTTACACCATACTTTACTGTCATAACGATGGGGAGAATCAGAGATGAATGGGGAATATTTGACTGAAATAGATTACCCTCTCCCAGCCCTGTGAAAACTTATATTTTTAGTGCGGTGTTATCACTTCTGATGTTTAGCCCCACGCTGAACGAGAATTAGGAAGCCCCGTGTAACTGGAGGAACTTCCACCTGCCTCAGAGGCATGGAGGTGGCCTTTTACACATGTTATTTTCATAGTTCTTAAAAAGATAAAGAGCAGTGAGTCTTGGAAGCTAAAGGACAGTGTCTTTAAGAGCTCTAATTATGAAGAACCAATCAGTGTCAGGAAGATGGAATAATATAATAGATTGGAAGGCGCCCAGAAAGAGAAGCAGCACTTTACAGGATGTCAGCATCCCAGGGATGCAGGTGGAGCACTGCCTGGTGGTACCCAGGCAAGGCACTTCGAAGACACCTAATAAACGCTTGTTGGCGTGATGTGATTTTTCCAGGAGTATCCTCCTGGTTTACCAGAGACTCGGACCACTGTGTGTGAGGTCTCAGGAGATAATTACACACTTGACATAGTTTAGTAAACCCCACCATCTGTGCAATATCGGATTCTCATTTTAAAAGCTTTGGTCAAGAGGCTCCAAAATATTGTCCCTTCACGATTGCCTGGCAGTGACTCATAAAAGGCCAGTCTTTATGCAGAAGATCTAGGAGCAAGGGCAGGAGAGGACTCTCCCCAGAGAGGAAGATGGAGAGAGAAGAGAGGAGATGGGGCAGAGGTGGAGGGGGTGAGTGAGACGCAGCAACCCGTGTTCTGAGAACACGCAGGAACTGGACCCAGAGCCCAGTTGAGTTACGTGGAACAATTGCAGGTTTCTTCCCTGCCTTCCCATTGGATTTACACCCAGAAATTCTGGTGCAACTGGCTGGGGGGCATGTTCAAGCATCAATGTATTTTTAAGTGTTCTAGGTAACTAATTCTGATGGGCAGCTAGGATTGGAAATCTCTGAGGGTTTCAAGATCTCAGCAGTGAGCCTTGATTTTATTTGACAGGTCTGAGAGGTGGGTAGGGGACCTTTCAGGAAAGGATGGGCAAAGGCCCCCGCTGTTACCTTCCCAGTGCTTGGCTAAGACATCCACTGAGCCATCTTCTGGTTTCACTTCCTCACCTGATGAAGAGCTCCTTAACTTCAAAAAGTGTGCTGTGACTCGTGTTTTTGTCCCCCGTGTCTAGCACGGGGCTTTGCACCTAGAAGATACTAAGTTTGGTGAAATGAATCAAGTGACTCAGATAGGCAACAAGCAGGCCCAGTGGGCTGGAGCTGGGGGACCCTGCAGAGGGTGTGAACAAACAGCTGAAAGGTAAACTGAGGCTTGACTGGGGAGGGGCTTGGACACTAGTGAAGGAAAATGAGCTTTATCCTAAAACTCGGAGTTCCCCAGAGATTCACCAGGCATGCTTGCTAAATTTGGATTCCTAGGCCCAACTGAAAATTCAGATTCACAAGGTCCAGGGTCAGGTTTTGTGATCCCCAGGTTCTCAGGTGAGTCTTAAGGTTAAACAAGCTTATGAAGCGCTGCCCTCGGGCATGGAAGCTGGGGAAGGCTCGGGGACCGAAGAGTAGCACGGCTGCACTCAGAATGGGTGAGATGCAATTGACTAAGCTTGGGATGCGAGTGGCCTCATTGAGGAGCGTGGAGACCAATGTGAGGTCAGCCCATAGGATGGGCGCACGGTAGCTGCCTTAGCGCTGGCACACACACTTAACCTCCACTTCTCCCAGCACATCTCTGCACTGGCAGGGCGGCTTAGTTGCTCGCAATCCATCCGATCTTTAAAGAAAACTAAACCTCTTTTTGTTTGCTTCCTTAAGTCCAAGTTCAGGTTTTCCTCTGTTCTGGGCCCAGTTTGTTAAAGAATCGTGGAATTCCTAAGGGAATCCTCTAATCACAGCCCATCACTGAAGACATGAAGACACAAACGGTTGACAGGGCTCAGTCCCCAGGTCCGACAGGCAGCGAGGGACCGGGGCGCAAGGTGTGTGGGGGAGATTGTTAGGGGCGTTTGAGATGGAGCAAGGACCCCCATCAGGAGACAGGTGCTCTCATGCCACACCCCCCAGCCCAGCCCCCAGGCTGATGGAGAAGACCTCGGTGGGTGGGGCTCTACTGTTCCCCCACATCATCCTCTGCCTTCCTTTAGGGCCGTTTCTGCGTGAAACGTGTTTAAGTAAAAGCGCATCTGATTTAATCAGGGATTCTTCAGTATCAGTAATCGCTCCTCTGAAACACATCTAATTTTTTCAAAGGAAGGAAGGAAGAAGAGGGAGGGGAAAAAAAGAAAAAGAAAAAAGAAAGAAAAAGCAACCAAGACGGATCTCATTCTTGAAACTGTCCTTGAGCAGGTCACATCCCCACGAGGATGTCTCTGTAGGGACGATGCTCCCAGGATATAGTCCTTAATTCCCTGCCTCCGAGTCGTGTGTCCCCTTAACTCTAAAGCACCAAGTGACGTGGCGTAAGGGAAGGGGGAAAGACAAGAACCAAAAGAACAAAAATAAAAATCAACAGGTCCACGTACACGTACTGACCTGTGTTGAGCCAGATGCATTTATGACTTTACCTGTTTGTGTGAAAAGCTATACGTGCTGTGGAATGAGACACAGAAAGTCATCCTTCCGATTTCTTTATGTAGCAAGTGCCCCAGCTTCACCTCGGGAAATGATCAGCCTCAAAGAAAGAAAAACAGACTATGAGTCCACTGGCAGCAACGCCACTTACCACGGAACAAAAGGAGAACACACTTCCAGGAAAGACACCATGACAGGTGAGCTTGGCTGTGCACGGTTCCTCTGCAGAGTTCGTGACAGGACCTGGGACAGGGCAGAGGGCTGGGACATCAGGCTTCAGCTTTGCTTGGCAGCTCTGCAGGACTTGAGAGCTTGATAGCGAAGATTCCCAAGGATTGGCCATGAGGAGATGAAGCTGGAGGTATAAAAACGGAGCATCTTATTCCTGGAATAGCTAAGAGAAAATCCTCTCTGCACAAATTTTTTCTTCTGTCTTTCTTTCCCTACCCCTTTCCTTCTCACTTGCCCAGTTCATGATATTTTCTCAAATTAGAGGACGAGGTCACCATAGATTTCTTCTTTGTTGGCATAACCCAAGATGGTGGGCCAAGCTTTGTCCATGAGGATGGGGAGGAGAAAGAGGATAAGAAAAGGAAGGGAGGGAAGGGGAGGGGACGGGAGAGAAGCAGAGGAAGAGAGGATTTCAGGGAGACCCACAGAACTGCTGTGGGCGTCTTCCCCTCTTGACATGAAACCACTCTCTGGCCACAACAAACTCCCAGGAAGATTCATCAGAACCACTGGCCTCAGTTTCCCTAGGGAGGCATTGATCTTTCATGCCCTTCGTCCTTCACTCCCCCAATCACACCCATTGGCTCATGAGCTGGGACTCTGCGGAGGCCAAAATTGGTGCCATTGCCCCCCAGGGCGCCCAGGCCAGCCTGCCTTGTGGCCAGCCTCGACTCAGCTCTCCTCTTACTCTGTACCGCTCTCCTTGGGGTGGGGCTCGATGTCCACATTCATCGTCCCCTCCAGGATCCCCCCACACCTCTCTCCTGCCCCGGTTTGCTCCTGGATACGATTTGGCGTTATTGATGGGGGGCAGGGCGGCGGGGGTTATGCCTTGAAAGCAGAGCTGCCAGAACCATCAGGATCTCTAACCAGCGATTCCACACCCTTCTTTGCCACATGGATGTGGAGATGGGCCCCTCCTGAAAACAGACCATAGGGACTTCAACAGAACAGGGTCAGATTAGGGCATTCATAAAACTGCAGTACAAGGGTGCAATCCTAAACAGACACTGAGACCCTCTTATTCAGAAGAAACTTAAAAGCGTGTGTTAAGTCTCCGTGATATTATTTAGGTGTAGACCTGCAGGGAAACAGAATAGACAAATTGGATGATTTATTGACATGTCTTTTGGACCCAGGACGTCTAAGATAAATTTTTCTCATGGTAACTGTATTTACCCCAGAGGCCGTGGTTTCCATGGTAACTCTCTCCCGGCTCCAGAAAGGAGAGCCTCATAAACAGATGCTCGTGGTACCCAGCCCAGCTCAGCACTCTGCCTCCACATACACACTCCACCAGGGAACGCCTCACCCTCACGCCTGAAACAGCCCCTGAATGGAGAACTGAATGCATGGCGTAGGACATATCTTCTTTTTCTTTTTGGCTGTGCCCCACAGCATGTGGGAGCTTAGTTCCACGACCAGGGATTGAACCTGCACCCCCTGCCCTGGAAGTGCAGAGTCTTAAGCACTGAACCACCAGGGAAGTCCAACATAGGATGTACCTTCTGATTCTCGTTCTCTGGTTCTTTTTTCCCCATAAGTGTTGTCCCCTGTCGTCAATGAGCATGAACAAAGAAGCTCATGAATCTGAGTGCCAAGTCCCTAGAGTCGAGATATTCAGTGGAGAATCTAATTTGTACTGATTACTCCAGAGCAGTGGTGACTCGAAATTCACCTGACCCCTTCGTTTTTCGATTATTATCGCCCTAGGTAGCCACATCACCAGCAGGCAGGGATAACAAAGTGAGACTATAATTACAAGAATAATTGTGAAATCGACTGCACTGTTATTATTTAAGTTGATCTTTTCACTTTAACTCTCTTGGCCGGTAGAATCATTCAAAAGGTTTTTCAGGGCTTCCCTGGTGGCACAGTGGTTGAGAGTCCGCCTGCTGATGCAGGGGACCCGGGTTAGTGCCCCGGTCTGGCACTAAGATCCCACATGCCGCGGAGCAGCTGGGCCCGTGAGCCATGGCCGCTGAGCCTGCGCGTCCAGAGCCTGTGCTCCGCAACGGGAGAGGCCACGACTGTGAGAGGCCCGCGTACTGCAAAAAAAAAAAAAAAAAGGTTTTTCATTGTGGTGTGTTTGTGTTGAAATAGTTCCAGTGGTACATGATCCTGCTCTGCACACATCAGACAATAAAAAATAAAATCTAATATGTTTCTAGATGTTTAATCTTCCTAGAAAATGGCAGGGATCTTGACAACTGCAGCATTGATATATACGTAACTTTTCAAACTTATTGAGAGGCTTAAACGCTTTGCTCTAACTTACTTAAAAATGCAATTCAAAACTACACTGTCAATCATGTAGCAAGCCTAGAAGAGCATGAGGTCATTATTGAATAATATGTTTATACAAGAAGGTTCCCTTTAAGCCAATAAGTACTGGGTGAAAGTTAGTTGTTAGCATCACAGTGATGTTGATGGTGATGGAGGAGGTGGGGGTGGTGTTGGTGCTGAGATTGGTGGGTGTGTTTGCCCCCCTCTCCGATGGTATGAGTAGCTCCCCAGCCAAGCCGGGTGGAAATCAACATTTCATGTAGGGATGGAAATGATGAATTGCCAACCTCTGTTCTGCTTCCCTTTAGCAAATGTCCATCATTCCAGTGTTTACTGGCAGATCAGATTTCTTGGGACCTCCGTATCCCAAGCAGTACCTTTTCTCATTCACCAATAAATCCAGGGGGCATTTAAAGTTCAGTTATTGAAAAAACATCTGAAAAACGGCCATCTTCCTTGTTTCTAAGGCATCAGGGGATGTCTTATACCATTTCCCCCACAGGAAACATTCCCTTTGCTGTGGGAAAACCATGGGAAACGTCACCCTCAAAACGCAACATGCAAAAGCTTTAAAGTGAAAAACAGTTCCTTGCCTGGGTCATCATCTCCTCTCCCGAGCTCTCAGAAATGCAGATCCATCTGGGTTTATATTTCAGGCTTCCCCTCCACCTGCCTTCTCTGTATTCAATCTCTAGCTTAGACGTCTCTTAAAATGTCTTCTCTCCTTAGTGTTTCTCTGCCTCTGAGGAGCCCTCAGAAAGCCAAAGGCAGCTGTTCATTCAGGCATGCAGCACTGTTATAGCTGTTTCTCGCGGTCATGATTCCCTAGGAGTGTTACGTGCTCAGAAGCACGCATCAGAGGAGGGCTGTGTGATCCCAGCAGCTACACAGCCTGACTTAAAAATTCACCAGGGGATTTTGCCCTCCCACCTGAGCTTCCCAAATACCTTAACATCCAGTGGTCGATTCTGTTTCTGTCAGTATCTCTCTTATGCCTTTTAAAGCTGCTCTGATCTTCAATCTATTGATATAGTTGGAAATTGGGGTCTATAAAAAAAAAGAAAGGCATTTCCCTATGAGTTGACTCTTTGCTCAGACACATACATGGCAGAGCACCTGTGAAGACACGTGCTTCATGTATCCAGAAAGGCCACGAGTTCAATCTCAGCTACACAGTCTCCTTTAAACAGGTGAAGTGCACCAAAGAGCAGGAGGAAACAACTTCCAGTAGAAACATCTTCAGCTTGGAAGCCACAAGCACAACAGGGAGGGAGGCCAAGGCTATAAAAATGCACATTCTACCAAAAAAAAATGTATTTTATTCTGAGTAATAGAAAAAAAATTTCACCTTATCCTTGGAGTAACATTTTCCATCAGCAGGTTATAGCTCTGAAGGCAGATTTTTCTAAGGTTTAGTCATTCATTCATTCACTCAGCAAAAAAGCACTCACTCTGTGAGCATCCCTCAAGGCCAGGCACTGTCCCAGATGCTGGGGCAGCCTACAAAGGTGGCGGGACAGACAGGTGTCTGTCCTCATGGAGCTTCTTATCTCCTAGATGAAGGGAGGTAATACACAAGGTAAACATGAAACAAACTCACTAACGAGGTGGTAGCACTTGGCGTTGAGTGTGATGGTGGAAATAAATGGGGTAATGAGATAGAGGGCCCCAGGTGGGCAGGGTAACTTTAACTAACAGGGTCAAGGAGGAGACGTTTGAGCTGAAACACGAATATCAACAAGGAGAGATAGTCCAGAGTCTGGGGCGAGCAAGTTCCAGGGAGAAGCATCAGGAAGTCCAACATCCCTGATGCAAAATAAATTTGGATGCTCAAGCCCGGAAGGAGGGCCAGCACAGCTCCCTGAACTGTGGGAAGAAGAGCAGGAAATTCTGCAGGAAGTCAGGATGGGACCAGATCACATGGAGCCTCGAAGACCATAATGGGCAGGGAATCGAGTGACATAATCCGGTCTGTCTAACATGATGATGGCTCAGGTGATGGGAACGGGGGGATGAAGGAACAGGCTGGGCAGAGTGGAAGCTGGGCCGTTGAGAATAGGATGCTGTAGCGGTGGTCCAGGCGAGGGATGGTGGTTTCCGCAGTGATGCAGAGACAGGAGTGATGGGCGTTCAACCAGAGAGTCTATCAGAGTGGTCTTTAAAATGGGAAGTGGGCTCTCAGCTCTCACATTCTAAGCAGAATTTCCCAAGAGGAGTTTTATTGCACAGCTATTATGTGCTTTTAGTAATAAACATGGGTGGAATGATTATACTGACTTGGTGGCCTGTATCTCTGAGAGAATAGATGGTGTGTCATCCTATTTCATGATCCCATAGATACTGGAAGCAAAAGATAACTTTTTCTTGATATCTGGAGTGTTTTAGATACCTGCTGACACTCGACAATGTTTTTTTCCAGAGCTTTCTTAAACCAGGACCTTTTAGCAGCTATGAGGGGAGTCTTGCCCTGGGCCCTTCCTCTAGGCCTGTGACAGCAGCCTCAAGGGCCCCAGGGGAGGAGGCAGGCAAGTGGGCATCTTGCCCAGGACTTTGGAAGCTACTGGCAACCGGAGGAGACCTTCCTTCCTTTTGTCTAGAACACAGACTGGTCACAAGACAGGGTGGGAGTCTCCCGTCTCTGTGTTGAACAGGACTCCGAAGCCGCAGCCGCCCAGATGCACAGGGCAAAGGCGGGTGGTGCTTCCTGCCCATCCTTCAGGCCGTTGAGAAGTGAACTGTCTCAAAGATGATCAAGCACTTCTGTGAGCTCAGATTAGAAATTTCATTCTTGTCATTCCCCAGCTAAACACCAAGCGGCCGATCCAGATTCCTGCATGCTTCAGTGCAGGTGACACGCTTTTATCATCTGCCAGTTTTCACCAGAAAACAAGGCCATAGAACTGGCAAGATGACCATCTGTTTGATGCACCTGCCTTGACCCCGTCTGCAAGCTGAATGTTATTGCAAGAGGCTGACGTGCAACGGGGATTTTATAGAATAACTGTTCTTCTCTCTTAATGTCTGTATGTAAAATGAAGTGTTCAGGGCTAACGAATTTCTTGCATCTGGAATGATCCATGAGACACCAAGCTTTGTCAGGGCAAAACTGGCCTCGATAACCATCATTCCTCATTTGAAGTCTGGCGTTCGGTGCTAATACTTTTGTTTCTCTTTTGCTTTCAGCTCAAAATACTGGAATTTCAACTTTGTATAGGAATTCATATGGTGCGCCCGCTGAAGACATCAAACATAACCAGGTAAAAGAGAGGTAGCACGTTGGTGTTTGTTTCTCCCTTCGACTCCTGTGAAATATCTTGGAAGTGTAAAAACTAAGTTAGTTTCTATTTAACATGCATAAAAAATGGAAAAAGAAAATAACGGTCCCCGCTGCTCTCTGCTCACGTGGGACACAGCGTACATGTGGGTGGTGGCAGTCATCAGAACAGCCTCAGATTTGAAAGCAATCTTTTGTTTTTTTGGCGACATCAGGTGTTAGTTACGGCAAGTGTAAGATGCTGGTTACTAGACAAATTGTCTAATTACTAGACATGGATTAAGTAGCTCCTGTAACCCAGCCAATTCTTATTTGGAAGAAAGCATTCATTATACATGACAGTTACTAATAACATAGACACATCAAGTTCAATGTAAACAACTGAATAGAAGGCATGGTGTTATGCCTTGCCGCTCAGGGAACAAGCAACAACAGCATCACCTGGGAGCTTGTTAGAAACACAGAAGAGATGCTTCTCTGGCCCCTAACCCTAACCCTAACCCGTTTAGGGTCTTCTGCATCCGAGTTGCATTTTATCAAGGTGTCTTGGTGATTCGTGTGGATGTTGAAATTTGAGGAACCCTGGCTGGTAGGTACTTAAAGAATCCATCTGTGTTTTTGCGTGTGTTTTATTTAGCAAATATTCGTTGAAGGCTCGTTTTCTCTCTGGTTCTAAGGGGAGCTATAAAAGCAAGAAGGCACCGCCTCTGCTCCTTTACTGATGAATAACCTCATACTTTTCCTTCCCCATGGTGGTCATCACAGAAAGACTGACATTCTTTATAACTCTTGGCTACTGGTAATCGTTTCCAGAACTGGCTTCTGCTGACGCTCTAGATTCCTGCCATGTGTCATGAAAATAGTACTGAAAAGATAAACCTGAAAGCTGTTTACTTGATCACAGTAACCAGATGAAAGTCAACATGAAAGGGAAATGTGTGTTTTTAATCAGTTCTCACCACCCAGCAGGGCAGCGTCTTTGAAGAGGAGAGGGACTCCCTTCCATCAGGTAGAATGTCTGGTGCAAGACTGTTTCTAAGGGAAGAGGGAGGAGGACACAGTTCTGGTCTTTGCTAAAAGCAAAGAAGTCAGTGAATAAACAGAGGGGCATGAGCCCTAGACAAGAGGTCACCAGGGGTGGCCCCCAACTATTTGCAGATCAACATGCCTACCCAAGCATAAAGGAAAATGGAAATGCCAACTCTATTTATGGAAATCAATGCTTTTTCTTCCAGCAAATATCAGGTACAGTGAGCCAGTGGTCTTCAGCTCTTAAAGATATTTGTCAGGATGTGATAGGACCCTGGTTTTGCATCCAAGAGCATAAAATCAGTCTTCAGCTTCTATAGGTCAAGAGAAGCTCATCACCAGAATCAGCCTGTTCTACGTCAGCCTTTATCTCCAGGGAATCCCACTATTGTTGGCAATGAAGAAACACCCAGTGTGGCCCAGGGGTCCTTGGCATCTCACAGTGTGGCTGCAGTACATTCCAACAGACTGCTTGCAACCTTGGTTTAGAGGACAGTCCACAGTGGTTCTAAGAGGCACATTCTCTTCACCCAAACCTATTCTGAGCATTTAAGAAAATTGGAATTAATGCACCAAGATGGCATCCCTGCCCCGAGAGAGTGAGCACAGCCTATTGTATGCAGCCTTTTCATTCTAGGGCCTCCTGGGCCCTAGAATGAACTCGACTCAACCTCGGTGTGAAACACCAAGGCCACGGTGTCTCAGGTGGATGTACTGAAACTCAGTCTGGATGGAGAGCAAGCTCTGAGCCACTTGTCAGCACAGGGGAGACGTTGCAGGCCAACCCCCAGCAGAGCTGAGTCCTGTGGCCATGGCTCAGTGCCATCATTATTCCCTCAGCTGGTCCAGCTGAGGGAAGGGGGCAACTGGACTGTTAACTCCATTCTAATATCAAGCAACATTTTTGAAATGTCCACCAAAGAGAGTTGTTTTTTACCTAAAAAAATTTTTCCAAGAAAATCATTATGACACTCCAGTGACTTGAGAAAATAATAAAGGTTTTACTTGTTTTGGACTCTGGTATCAGGATACACTTTGACTTTACTTACAGCCTTCCCTCTTGGGAATTCGGTAAAGGAAGACCATCCTGACCATTCAGAAAAGTTGGCCATTTGCTCCTCTTCCAGATGGGTGCTTCTGGAGATGACCTTGTAAACAGCATCCATGGTGTGGATTTTCTGCCCATGTGAGCATGGTTGGTTATCACAGATGGCTTTTGTTTTTGGAACTTTTCTGGGCTAAAAGCCACTTCACAACCTCATAGCTAGTAAATGGCCAGCTTGAAAAATTTAACCGGGAGGGATGTGCCGGGGTCCATTCGGTTTCAGTGTCAAAGCTGGGCCTCCTGAGCTTTGCAGAGGAGTCTGGACAGGGATTCATCTTAGAGAAGAAGTGATTCACCGAGGGAAACTAGTTTCAGGGGGATCTCTGGGACGAGGCAAAAGACAGTGAGATCTGAAAATAAGGCAACAGCCCTGGATGCATGGCCAAGCAAGGGAGGGGCCGGGGCAGGAGGTGGGAGGCGGGCTTCCCCTGACTCAGCAGAGAAGCAGCCAGGCAGCCTCGCAGCTGTGGCACACCCCCCGTGACTACCTGCCACTCCAGTTTCGAATCAGTGAATTCCGAGCATAAGGACTCCTAGAAGAAACAACCATTCGTGTGAAATAAGATTTGTGATCCTCGGTTTTATGTTTGGGGTCACAGATATTGTTTTAAGAGTTAAGTACTCAAACCCTTCAAAAACCCTGCTGAGCTTCTACCAGTCTATCCCATACTTATAAAGAAAAATAGCTTATTTAACCGTATCCCGCTGGCAATAGGATTTTTGTTCATAAACTAGAAACAAAGGGTTTTGGTGTTTTGCTGACTGGTTTTCAAATTATTACTGACAGCAATAAAAATGGCATCTTGAGTTCCTCAGTCTGGCTGCCAGGTGGGCAGGCAAATAAAATTATCCCCAGAGCTGAGGAAATTGGGATTCAAGGAGGGTAAGGGTTCGCCCTCAGTCACCTGAAGAAGCTCGGAAGAGGCAAAGACTCCAGCCTGGGTCTTCTGTCCTCTTGTGCCATGTGCCCTCCTGTATACCACTGGTTCTCAAATTTGAGGGTGAGTCAGGATCCCTGGAAGACTGTTAAACATAGATTACTGTGCCCCAACCCCAGATGTTCTGATTCAGTAGGTCTGGGATGGAGCCCAATAATTTGTACCCCTAAAGAGTTCCCAGGCAATACTGATGCTCCTGGTCTTGGGACCACACTTTGAGAAGCACTGATCTTCACCACGGCTTCATTCATTGTATAATGATAACACCCTGAGTCTTCAGCTTTCACTGTGCAGTAGACTTTGAAGGTCTGTAGTGGGCGGCTATTTCCCTTGTGTTAGGAATACGTTCAATTGGTGGGCAAACTCAGTGAGGAATACAAAGGAGTCTTCCATCAGCGTGCTACAGGGGTGGGAGCTAAGAAGGAGCAGCGTCCTTTATAATTTACACTAAACATTCTGCTGCTGAGGAAAGCTTTCAGCAAGGATGACTCTGTGGGAGCAGAAGCCACAGGACAGAGCGCCGAGAGTGTGGACCCCCGTGATGGCCACGTGAGCCAGCTGGTGGCACCTGCCCCTCCCAGAGAGGACGCTGCCTTAAGCAGAGCAGACAACAGCCTCAGGCTCCTTGGATGTTCCAGGGCTCCTCTGGACCACAAGAGACTCAGATTCAGAATACACCACTGTGGGATAGGAGCATCATTCCACCTCCTTTACAGAAGTCTGGCTTGTCCACACTGTATGTTAAAAAAAAAAAAAAAAAAAAAAAAAAAGCATTTATTTTAGCTCCTCTATGGGGAAGGCTGGTATTGGGGAGCATTTCACCTGCCTAATCTTGAACACTGTCAGATAGTCTCTTAAAGTAAATGACAAAATACAGCCAACATACCTCTGCGGTGAATGCATCTTAGCAGCCGACATCCATACCACTGGGGCCAGGGAGCAAATTTAATCCCTTCAAATACAACTGTGCCACCATCAGCTGTTCTGGGTGATTCATTCACACAAATTCTCTGAACTGCAGAACTCAACCTGAGAAGGGGTTGATATGGGACCTTATGAACAATACAAATGAACTGAAGAAGGTAACTCCTGATATGAGACTAAAATAAGCTTGTGCTCAACCCAAAAATGTCCACCAGCCAGAGAGAACATAGCAGTAGTAAGAAATTTGAAACAGGCTTTGCCAGAAAAGAAAAAAAAGAAAAAAAGAAAGAAGCAGCCACCGTGGAGGAGGGCCACGATCCTCTTAAGTAGCTTCCCCTGAAGACCTCCCAAGCTCTAGCACTGCCCCTCCCCTGGTTACTGAGACCAGCACAGAGAAGTCAGGCCTCATCTTGGTTTCCTTTGTCCATGGCCTCCCTTCTCATCACAGGGTCTGGAGTCAACTCAGTGAGGCTGCCTGCCCCCCGAGGTGGAGCCACCTTGGCTCAACAGAGACTGTGCTCCTGTCTCAGAGAGAACATGGACTTTGGAGTCAGCCAGGTGTGCATTCACATCCCAGCCTCACCCCACCAGGAGCCATGGCATCTTGCACAAGTTTCTTATCTTCTCTGACCTTCAGTTTCTTCATCTATAAATTGGGAATTGGATGGATAAATGGATGGATGGGAAGGAAGGAAGGAAGGAAGGAAGGAAGGAAGGAGGGAGGGAGGGAGAAATTGAGAGAGAGGAAAGGTGGAGGGAGAGAAGGAGATAGATTAGATAGATAAATAGGTAGATGATAGATGGATAAATGGATGGATGGATAGATATACAGACATAAACATGCATCCATATATGTATGCATATATACATATACAAGAGTAAACAAAGAAGAATTTGTTACATGTTGAATATAGAGCCCACTGAAATAGAGCCAGTAAATTCTAGTTCCTTCCCTGTGTAATTTTTCCAAACCTCTCAACTCTAATACTTTGTATGCTCCACACTTGGGTAGCAGCACCGAGATGGAGCGGAGAAGTTCCACGTAACGCTCAGCTCTTCAAAGACCAGCAAAGGGCACCTTAGCCTATCCCAGTGATCAGGTACACGTGGTCTTAGCAATGTTTAATTGCAGGTGTTGAAGTTCCAAATGTCCCCCTCATGCCCAGGCTCTTAGGCTAACACACATTTACACTCTAAGGACTTTCACAGGTAGACAGAAACCTCATTCATTCAGCCACCACTATCTGGAAGTGTGAGGCCACCTGGATGGCAGCTATGATGAAGTTCACCACTTCCTTGAAGAGCAGGTCAATTACTAGTGTAAATCAATGACATATAAAAGAGGGAGTTTCGCTTACCTGAGAGAAGAATTACGGGCAGGCCATTAGAAGCATTCATTCACACACAACGTGCTAATTACAAATCATTATCTATCAACTAAGACCAATTTCTAGAGGATGTTTCCATGCTGAACCTTAGTTAAATTAGTAGGGAATTACCGAGTCCACTGGCAGGTGATCAAACTATGCTTTTTTAGGAGTGTTCCATGGTTCCCCCCAGACCTCCTGCACAATCATTGCACTCGGGGAACTTTGTGGATGCCATTATGCAGTGGCTGTGGGAATGGTCCTTCCCCCATGCCTTGGGGGTATCCTCACTTTGGGAGCGTGATGCTTAGGAAGGGACCTCAGAGGCAGTGGGAAGGGGATAGCTAGGCCCTGACATATAAATGCTAATTATCAGCCTATGAACACTGTCTGTTTTACTGTCCTTAAAGCAAAGCGGAGGGAACTAACTAACTAACTAAACTTCACGTATCCCGAAGAATCCTGTGGTCCCTTTAGCCCCTAAAGGCCCCCTACATCAGACAGTAACCTGCAGAGGACAGGAATGGAAACGGGGGACACTGAAGTGGGCTGGGGGACATTGGACAAGTCTGAAGACCCCTCTCCCCTAACCAAAGTCTTCATAATCCCACATTATTCTCGAGTCCCATCAATTCTCAATTGAACCAAGTTAGGAGATGTTTTGGTTCTCCAGAGCATAGAGTATTTGAAGTGGATTCCCTCTTCTTCTCACATGCTTCTCTGTATCCTTCTAAGGCTGTGGTACCTGGTCACTTAGGCAGGTGTGATGGAATGGCCCTATTACCGGGAAGCCTCCATCCTCCAGAGAGGTATTGGTCACAGCCCTCCGAGCTGGCAGGAGGATGCCCAAGTGACCATTAGACCTTGTACATCTTCACTTTCTCTTTGTCTGGGATTACAGCACCCAGGTGTGATGGAAAAAATGCAGGAAAGATGACTATAAATTACTTGTGTTCTGTAGTGTCTAGTGTATACCTCTTTAATTTGAAAAAGGTTAACTAGTAAAATGGTTCACCTATCATGGCAGTTTTGGCAATTTCTCAAAAAGGTAAACATTGAATTACCATCAGATCCAACAATTCCACTTCTTGCTACATACCCCCCAGAAATTGAAAGCAGGGATTCAAACAGATACTGGTGCACCCACATTCACAGCAGCGTTATTCACAATAGTCAAAGGGTGCAAATAATACAAGTGTCCATCAGTAGATAAGTGGATAAACAAATGTGGTCTCTCCATACAATGGAATATTATTTAGCCTTAAAAAGGAAGGAAATTCTGTCACATGCTACAACATGGATAAACCTTGAGGACATTATGTTAAGTGAAAGAAGGGAGACCCAAAAGGACAAATACTCTATTATTCCACTTCTATGAGATACCTAGACTAGTGAAATTCATAGAGGTGGAAAATAGAATGACGGTTGCCACAAGCTGCGAAAAGAGGGTAGGATGGGGACTGAAGCTTAATGGATACAGAGTTTTTGTTTGCGATGATGAAAAAGTTATGAAAATGGATAGTGGTGACGGTGGCCCAGGCGACGAATTTACTTAATGCCACTGAAAACGATTAAAATGGTCCATTTTATGTTATGTATACTTTACCATAATAATAATTTTTAAAAAAAAGATTACCTAGAATGATAGCGCATGGACTCAGGAACCAACTTGAAAAAGGAAAGTCAATCAGGAGAAGCTCGATACTGGTAACCGCATGGAGGATGTTCGGAGCCTTGACTTTGAGAGAGGGTTGAGCGCATCGGCGGCGGGGGAGGACGGGTCAAGGGCAAATGCGCTAACCCAGGTGGATCTTCTTTTCTGGGCAGGTTTCAGCACAGCCAGTCCCACAGGAGCCCAGCAGAAAAGACTACGAGACCTACCAGCCATTTCCGAATTCCACGAGAAACTACGACGAGTCCTTCTTCGAGGACCAGGTCCACCACCGCCCTCCGGCCAGCGAGTACATGCACCTGGGACTCAAGTCCACGGGCAACTACGTCGACTTCTACTCTGCTGCCCGTCCCTACAGTGAACTGAACTATGAAACGAGCCACTACCCCGCGTCCCCCGACTCCTGGGTGTGAGGCAGGCAGCACCGGGAACAGTGCATGTGCATGCAAGACCACAGACATTGCTATTTTTCTTTTCCCCTGCAAATTTAGTTTGTTAAAGCCTGTTCCATAGGAAGGCTGGGATAACCAGTAAGGAAACATTAAGAGCTATTTCAGAAAGCTAACTGAATCGAATGTTAACTTGAAAGTCAATAGAAAGTGATCCTCAATCTGACCTTGTACAACACCTTTCTAGCGCGGGCTGGAGAGTCTAAAAAGTGCTTTCCACTGAATGTGGCTGAAGGCAGCACAGAAGGCGGTCGGGGTGACGGTTGTAAGCACAGAGGCACGTGGTTCACACACTTCAGAGGGACGGCTTCTCACGCTTTGTTTACTCTTCATCCGTTGTGATTCTAGGCTTCAAGTTGCACTCGGGTTCCTCTGTACAGCAAGATGTTTCTTGCCCTTTGTTAATGCATTGTTGTAAAGTATTTGATGTACATTACAGATTAAAGAAGAAAAGCGCATTGTGTATATTACACCAATGCTGCGGCGTTTCCTCATCTATGGTTCTAAATATTGCTTCAATTTCAGACTTTTGAAAGATGTATGGATTTCCAGTTTTTCTTTTCTTTCTCGCAGTATGTTTTAACAGAAAAAAAATGGGAAAAAAGGAATATTTAGCAGTATCGTTCGTTCTGATATGTGAATTTGTTTGTGGCAACTAAGCAAGGCATTCAACAGTTTCTGACAATTAACATCCATCATTCCACACTCCTTGTCAACAAAGTGCTTTTTCACTGCCTAAAATTTTAGATGTAGATATTTGAAATAGATTTTTTCATTTATACCAGTTTTCTTTATGATGATACAGTGTTAAAAGAAAATAAATTACAATTGATCTGTCATCCATATTTGCTAAGAATGTCTATTTCCAAGGACCTATCTTACAAAACACACATTCTACTCGTGTGTCTGTGCGTGTGTGGGTGTGTGTCCATGTATGTATAAAAATGACCTGTGTGAGATTTTATTTGGATAGAAGCTATTTCATTTGCTGTTCCTCTTGTACAAACTTTGTTTTTGGTTTCTAGTATGAATGTACATCAGCCGTTCCTTTTGTACTCTATCTATACTTCTGACCATCTAGTGACTCAGGATATTAGGCCAGTGGAGGTAAAGTTATAGGATTCTCACACATTCACGCATTCTTGGATACCAACCCTTTCTACGGGCCCATTTCCTTCCGTGTTTCATGCCCTCAGAACATGATAAACCATGGCCAACTCAATAATTTCACTTTGGAGCCAATTACTTGAAATAGCCACAGAAAATGTAAACTGCTCGCCTTATTCCCCCCAAACTCTTTTGTTCGTGTGGCAGGGAGCAGTAGACAATTATGGATTCGATTATTAAAACTGAACTTGAAGCTAATGGTAGAATAGTTGTTAACAGAGCTAGGAAGTAAGGCTAACCATTCAAAAGAACAGGGGCTGTGGGTAAATTAGCTTTGCTCTTTAGATGCAAGTGACTGAGGCCAATAGGTGCCTAGTAAATGTTAACTGTTCTTGAAAAAATAAAACATTAAATAACAAAAGAAATTGGCTGCCATCTTCCTTTAAAACTTTCTCCCCTTCGCTCTACGTAGTTTAATTCAGCTCAAAGTCTAAAATTCATGGTTCTTTCTCCAAATTTAGCAACAACCAAACGATCTCTTGTTCATGCATATCTGTGCAAATGAGAAGCTCTTTTCTAGAGCAGCGTGGTAGACAGACATTTTCATATGAGTTGTCCTACAGTTTCTTACAAGTTGGCCCTTCTCGCCCTGTTTACTATAGGAATACACATTTCTGGGTCCCCTCCCAGGAATGCTCCAGCCCCTAAGAGAGATATAAATATGTAGCTTTGAGGACAGTGTTTCCACTTCATTACTGTCATAGAATGAAATAGTAAAGTTCATCAAGGCAGAGATATGGTACAGACATGATTTGTCCATAACCAAATAGCTGGTTTAACTTTTCCAAAAGTAAGGAGTAGGACTCATTCTCTGGCTTGAGTTGTGCAGAGGGAAGTTAATGCATGTCAAAAAGTCCTTGTCCTAGCAGGAGCTTTATATTTCCTCTGTGACTTTGAGTCTGTGCAAGCCCAACATTTGCAACCCTTGAAGACCAAGGAAGTCTCTGCTGCCTGTGCTTTTTTAAGAACACCTGGCACCAGGCTGACATGAACGAATTCAGCCAGAAACCTCTGGAATCAGAGTTAGAGCTAGGAGAAAGTCAATTAAAAGTGTTCATAGTTACTCAAGTTGATTCTTTTATCCTTTTCATACACACACACACATACACACACGGAAGTAAGAAGTAGGGAGAGAGAGATGACAGATGGTGATGGTGGATAGATGATAGATGGTAGATAGATGATAGGTAGATGGTAGATAGATGATAGATAGATGATAGATAGATAGATATAGATAGATATAGATGATGATGATATATGAGATAGACAGATAGATGATAGATGATAGATAGATATAGATAGATATCTATAGATAGATGATAGATAGATATAGATGATGATGATATATGAGATAGACAGATAGATGATAGATAGATAGATAGATAGATGAGGTTTTATCTGAACTGTGAAGTGGCCTAAAGCCATCCCATCTCCTTGGCAATAAAGGTTGATCAATGGGTGATTTATTATTTATAACACGTGTGCCTGGGACAAAAACCGAAAGTGGCCAGAAGCATTGTTTCGGCTTTCATTGTACCGAAGTGACCAAGTGTGACCCTGTCCTCCTAAGTGGCTGCCTCTTGGGTCTACAAGAGCCTCCAGATCTTGGATTTTCTACTGAGATTGGAATGGTGTTTTTCAGAGGAAAAGAGGAAAAAAAAGAAAATAGAAAATTTCTTTTTCCTCTCAATCCTTATGGTGGACCATACTTACACCCAATGTATTGAATAGAATGTGAAATCCAAACATTATGTATGAAAAAGGACCCATTGTTGTTTTCACTTGAGAGCTTTGATTGCCAGGGCCTAAGTAAGGAACACTTAAACTATATCACTATGAATAATATTAAATCAGATTTTTAATACTGATTCAATTTTAATACCACAATTAATACATCAATCCTCAATGTCAATCGTGAGTTAGACAATAAAATGTCAGACAGGTTTATAAGAATGAGGGTTACACAAGTTGTCACATCATACTTGGTGCTAACTAAGGTTAACCAGTGACAACCCATTTCTTGTTGATAAGACTCAGGCATTACAGAAAACTGCTATGAAAAAAAGCAGTGTTTAAATTCAGTGTTTATATACATATATAAATTTATTTGGCCTGTTTTGTTTCTCTTAGTTCAGCCCTTCTTCATGGACTGATACTGTCCCCCTATATCTGAGAGCTGTGCCCCTGAGAAGTGAGGTTTGGCTCTCTGAAGACACGGTATTTTCACTCAAGAGATTTGCAGTTGAGTCTGGGCTCCCTGGGGACAGGTCAGCTCTGCTCCACTCAGAATCAGCCGCTGAGGCTCAAAGGCTGGAAGCTGGAATCACTTGATGACTCAATCACTTAAATGTCTGGCAACTGGGCCTGGAAAACTCCAGTAGCTGAGGGCAGGAATAGCTGCACCTCTTCAGACATCCTATGAGGTCCCTCCACAGGCTCTGGCCAGCAGGGATGCTTCAAGGGGGTCAAAATCCTGACATGTCATCTCAGGGTTCCCAAAGTCTATGTCCCAAGAGAAAGAACCAGCCACGAAAGTCAAGATGCATTCCATTACTCAATGCAATTGCAAAATAGTGCTCAGTTCCAGGGGGCAGGGGGCAGAAATAGACTCCATCTCTTGATGGTGGTGGGGGAGAGGGGGCAGTAGTGGCAAGATTATGGAAAAGCCTCTAGCATTGGAAATACCGGTGTTGCCTTTCTGATATAATCTACCAATCTATCATAAAACTGATAACATTTTGCCTTAATAAATTCAGCTTCTTTAACTTGTAGCCAATATGTCTTAATAATGGCAAAAGCAGTGAGTTTTATCATAAGTAAAAAACAATTTAACTAAAAAATGAGAGAAAAATCCATGTCCTTATGTCAGAAGGAAAGGTTTGGGGTCTTGGGTTTGTATTTTCCTCCAGCTGAATGCAAACATGGAAGCAAATGGCGACTCTGCTTCCTGGCAGCCATCTAACAACCATGAGGGGACCAGAATAAGTTGAAGCCGGACCTGAGAATAGCAGATTAGAGAGACTGAAAGAATTTGGCTCTCCTCTGAAATCACTTGAAGAGCATCTAATTCCCCAAATATTCCAAAATGGACCATCATTAAGCACTTATACACACATTCTAGAGACTTTCCTTTGCCTTCTCCTAGGAAGTAACAGAAGGCTGGACTGATGAAAACAAATCTCAAGGTAAAGACTTACATATTCACATCATCATGTCCTCAGAATAAGAATATGCTTTTCTGAAGAGTCAGGAAAATAGATTATAAAAAATAGCCCCATTATTAATTTTTGGTAAGCAGAAAGGCATTCTGTAAACACTTTCTCTAGTTATCATTCTATCTTATTCTTTTAACTACCAGTAATATACACTATGGATTCATAACTGAATGGGTCTGAAGTTGTGTTATTGCCTCAATTCACTATCAGTATTAGAGTAATTTTAGGTTCTTAAGAAATTACACCCTCTGTGGGCTCATGCTCTATCTCCAACGAGAACAAAGGAAAGATGATTAAAGGGTTGAAAAAACTAAGAAGTAAAAGAGGTCTGATGTATTATTGAACATTGATACAGCTTCCTTCTGAGTCACACTGTCTTTGGGAATACATAGTTTCTGAATGGGAGTGTCTCCAAGTTACATCGCCCTTTATCACTTCCTCTTCTGGTAACACACGCCACCTAAATTATCAACGTGATGTCATGACTGCCTTCTCTGTTTCCACAATTCCCAGCCCCACACCTTCCACTCACTGACACTGGTCCCTGGGCCCCATGAAGGTAAAGAAGATTCAGAGCATTCACAGCAAATGAAACGTTGCTACAGACGAATGGCTCTGGCTTCCAATCTCCATCTCCAGCCATCCAATCACAGCAGCTCTGCCAACAGCTGCTTCACCGGCCCAGACCTTTCACAAGTTCCGTTAGGGAAGCATCCCATCCAGATGTTCATTCAAGACCCAAGATTCTGAAGGGCAGAATCTTTACTTACCGAGAATTTACTATAAACCTAGAAGAAGAAGAAGAAGAAGGAGAAGGAGAAAGAGAAGGAGAAGAAGAGGGAGGGGGAGGGGAGGGGAGGGGGAGGAGAAGAGGAAGAGAAAGAAGAAGAAGGAGAAGAGGAAGAAGAAGAAGGAGAAAAGAAGAAGAAGAAAAGAAGAAGAAGAAGGAGAAGGAGAAGGAGAAGAAGAAGGAGAAAAGAAGAAGAAAGAAGAAGGAGAAAAGAAGAAGAAGAAGAAGGAAGAAAGAAGAAGGAGAAGAAGGAGAAGCTGTGATGACAACAGATAACAGAACTGGCACCAAATGTGCTCATGGCTGTTAGGACCAGGAGGAAATGACTAGTAAACTGCCGTATGAAATGGACACGAAAGGACAAGGAAAATTAGGTTTCTTAACGGTTCTGTTTTGCTTTAGACTACTCCAGAGGTGTCTAAAAAGCCAGAGAGGAGATTGGCAGTCCCTTTTGGGTGGAAGTTCACTGGGACAGCAGTCACTAACCCAGTTACTAGGGAATCATAAGCATTTTTCTGCAATTAATTTTGACCCTAGTAAAGTTTGAAAGTTAGAGCTATATGTTTTAATAATTTAATAGGACTATAGCAAGAAATCTTCCCATCATGTTAATATGTAAACAAAGAGTATTTAATTAGGCTTACCAGATTCAGCAAATTAAGATAGAGTGTCCAGTTAAAATTAAATTTCAGTGAAATAGCCAATACTTTTTTTTAATATCAGTATGTCCTGTACAATACTGGGAACATATTTACACTAAAATTTGTTTTCATTGTTATCTGAAATCCAAATATAACTGGGCACCTTGTATTTTATCTGGCAATCCTAATTTAACCTATAATTCTGCCATTATTTTTCTAAGGAGTAATACTTTATAGAAAAATTAAAATAAATTCAAGAATTCATTACTTGATTAATCTCACTATAGATGTATACATAATTTTATATATATGTGTGTGTGAAAATACAGAGTTAGGACTCAGAAACCCTGTTTGAATA